AAGCAGGGTTCTCACTTCTCCAGAGAAGCTGAGTGTCTGCATTTTATATATCAGGGCTCTGGCACTGCTCGCCTTCAGGCAAGGAGGGGGCAGTGCCAAGTGTCATCAGTGGCAGAGACCTAGTCATGCAAGAGAGAAAAACAGTAAGCAAAGCCCATTCTCCTCTCTGAACGTGACAGTGAACTCAGAATTAAGTCAATTGGACAGCTTCCACTCCAGTAACTAGCCCCAGGATGGAGTTTTAAGGGAAGGACTAGATCAGAGAGGATGCTGCCAGCACTGAGTTTATGGTACGCTGTGCAACCAGAGGGAGGAGGGGGTGAGGACCAGCACTAGGGGTTAGGGAAGATGCTTTCTCTGGGCACCAGGTACAACTCACAGGTTGAATGCAAGTGTAATTTTTCTGACTCAGACCTGAATTGCAGCTTTCCTTGTTCTACCTCCTCTCTTTGAATAAAGGTATTGGGGAAAGAGATAAACAAAGCTTAAAATCTTATGTGTCATGACATTTAATTCTATAAATACTTACTGAGCACCTATGGTAGAAAAGCACTTCACTAAGCATTCAGGATGGGGAACTGATAAAGATAAATGAGACAGATCCCTTATCCTCCAGGAGCTTAGAGTTTGGCAGATGGTGGCCAATGTTATAATAAAGCAAGAAAGCCATCCAAGAACTTTATGGAGATGAACTCTGAACCCAAGGTGGGATTCAAAGCTCCTCACCTCTGCTCTTCAGAAGGAAGGGATCTCTACAGACTGAGGTGATCAGCACAAACATCACCAACAGAGAACAGAAAGGAAGGTTGAGCCAAAAGGGCTGGAGACCCTACTAACTTGGAGCAAGCACACAGTCACCCCTCCCCTCTGAGCTCAGGACCTGCAGACCTGCTCCTTGCTTCAGCATCTCCTCCAATTCGGCCTCAGCCTTAGCCCTGAGCCCCAAATGCACCACACTGAAAAGAAGAAGAGAGCTAAGCTTCTTGGTGACCACAAAGCTGTCTTTGTAGATAGCAAGATCCTTGAGGAGTCACTTCTGTCACAAGGCAGGCTTAGAGGAAAGTCCCAGGTGGTTCGTGGAGAGGCAAGTTAATCTGGGGAATTCCATTTACTTTCCTAAGTCTGCCAATTCAGCGGTGAGGGGTGGAGGAAGGAGGGATGCAGGGGAAGGTTGTGGTGATTAGAGTCCTCCTATACACAGGAGCAGGGTCTATTTTTGGAGGGGAGAAAGGAAGGCAGAGGCACCAGGCTCTTCATTGTTCCTAGCACCTTATAAACTTATCATTAAAGCCCTAAAGGACATCAGAAGGGGGGAAATACACTATCATGGAGCTCCATACTCAGACATAAAGATGGGGCTTATCTCCTTTCCCTCATCTCTTCTCTTTCTGAATTCCTCCTGCAAATCCCCAGAGTCTAAAACCGGGAGTCAGCACTCATTTGCCAGAGAGACACAGGATCACCTGGCTTCTGGATTCCAAGACTGCTCCCATGCTCCTGGACCAGGGAGCTATGGAATTTGCCCGGCTGAGGAGACCAGATAAATGTGGCCTAATGGAGGTGAGGTCCTGCCTGTTGAATTCCTACTCCTAGGTCCTTAACCTCTGGTTGGCTCTGCTCCACTCCCAGGTAAAGCCTTAAGTCTCTCTACCTGAAACTCTTTAGAAATGCCTTTCCTCTGGGCAGCTGCAGGACCTAGGACCTCCACTTAGGTGAAGGATGTTATCTCCAAAGAAGGTTTTGACACAGGCATTTTCAGAGGTGTCCTGATAGGGTTGAGAGGTGACAACTGTGACACAACTTCAAACCTGCTTCCCATTCCTGGACCATACTCCCTGGAGTACACTAAGAATTAGTACTTTCTATAAATCCTGTATTGATCTTATAAATAATCCACTTATATGGCATTATAATTTGTGGTAAAAACCATTATTTCGATAACATAAATGCTTAATGTATATTGTTTTTGGCATAGCAATTTCTTGGAGGGCATTTATTTTCTAAAATACTGGGAGCTTCATAAAAGGTAAATGAGCCAGGCCTCTCTGGGCTCTGAGAGGCTCTGGAAGGAACTGTATGCTTCTCCAAGGATGACCAGGTAGTGGGTGACATTGAGTTCAGTGCACTGACAACTTCCCTGGCTAACAAGGAGTCTCTGACACTAAAGCAGACTGAACTCTCTCTTGCTCTACACTCCAGCTGTGAGGACCTAGTTTAAGGCTGTGAGTAACTGGTAACCCAGTTCAACATTCTTAAGAGGCAAAGAGGCAAAACAGAAAAGAGCTGAAGCTGCAGTCGGCTTTGGTCAGGATGTAGCACTCTGGCTAGCTTCAAGTAGAGGATGGAAGGTAAGCCCTGTCATGACTCCACTTCTGGGTTATGGGAAGAGCCTGCTGCTGGTTCCTCATGCTGCCCCCAAACTCAAAGGCCTAGGGGGCCCAGTTAGTGGGGAGAAGTGTGGGAAAAGAGAGAGACCTGATTTGAGCCAGCTGTTTCCAAGTGGGGCAGTGAGCTGTGCATGGCATAAAAGCACATGGCCAAGAGAGTATATGGGGCCTGAAGCCGAATGTTCCTGCTCTCCTCACCAAGCTGTAGCACCGAATTGCATCTACCTATAGGAAGGGACTCTCCTTCTGACTTTTATGGGCTAAAAGTACTCTGCCAGATCTCTCCCACTCCATCCTTTTTTATTTCAAGAGAAGCCAGAAATACAGAATATTCGAAGGCTCTCTCTGTTTAAAAGTTGACAACTGACACAAAATTAAATACGCACATACACAAACACACACACATACTGCATGGGCTAAATAAAAGAGCTCAGAGGATGCAACTGGCAGCCAGTTTGGGACCTCTACGTAGATAAATGAGGGAGGCCAAGGACATACTAGGAAGTCAGCAAAGCCTAGAGCCAGAACTTGGGTTCCCTGCATCTCCTATTTAGGTCAGGCCACCATGCCTGTAGCCATTCCACTTTCTACCATCGTACAAGACCCTGGTTTCTTATAGCTGATTACTCTCTCCAGGGGATTCCACTCCAGAGCTAAGGGTACCACCAGCGGGACACAGGGTCTTCTTTGCAATTTCATTCCTGGGGGTTCCAGGTAAGGGGGTAAGAGAGTGGGTTGGGGTAGAATCTTGACAGGGCACTAAAGAAGCTTAGGAAGATCAGGGCAATGGATTAGGAGGTGGGAAGAGGATCATTGGTCTAGTTCTTCTGCTATTTTAAGGTGAAAGGTCAAACCAACCACGAACGATGTCAGATCAAGAGGGTACCCTTCAGGCCACAGAAAGTCTGGGATGGAGGGAGTGGAGGCATCTGTGTGTGGAGGAGGAAAGAGGGCTGTGGATTCAGGTCAAAACCAAAGACTGCACTTTGTCTCCACTAGATTAAAATGGAAAGCCAGAGTTGGCCCCAAGTATGGAAAATAAATCCTCCTGGTGCTTTCTTTCCTTTCAGAATCATTCCTCATGTGAAGCCTCCTACCTGTGGCCCCAGAAGCATGCATTTTAGCAGAAGGCAATTTCCCCTTAACCGAGTAGAGGCCCTGTCCTCTTGTCACATGGGTTGAAACTTTCCTGATATTAGTGTTAGAAGATGGGGTATAGAAACAGAAGAAACTCTCTGAGGATGGTAGCCCCCAAATGCCTAAGAACTCTCCCTCAGAGGAAACTGATGTAAACTTGGGGGCCTCCATTTCTGTACCCAGAGAAGCTCAACTCTTCTGTCCCTTTACCCTTTCCGGACACTTTGGGTGTGTTCCCCAAAAGGGCGTTTAGACCTTTTCTTCCTGAGGACTCAGGCAGCCTGCAGTTGAGGAAATGGGGAACAACGACTGCCCAGGGCTGAGGTCAGGAGGTGAGGATGGGGTGGATGAGGGCGGCCCCCCAGGCAGGCTCAGGAGCGCAGGGAAAGCAGCCCCCCCTTCAAGCATCCCCCACCCTCCCCACCCTGTTCTCCGCCACGGTGGGCGCCTAGGGCTCGCTCTGTTCTGCTTGCCCGGCTGCATGACAATGACGGCTGCTGAAGCCCAGCACCTCGCTGAAGGGACCTGACGCGGAACGGGCCATTAAGCCAGGAATGGCGGTGGGAGGAGGGGGCTATTTATAGAACAAAGCTCAGCTGCTGCCAGCAGCCCCAGCACCGGGACTAAGCACCAGCCTCGTCCTGCCGGCCTCGCATGCTGGGGAGAAGGCCAAACCCGGGGACCCCGTGGCAGGGCTGGACTTTCCCTGGGAAATGGCTAGATCTGGAGTTGAGCAACCCTTTCTCGCCATAAATGCTGCTTCCAGAATCCAGGGGACAGAGCGCCAGAAACGCAGGGAGGGTGCCGCGCGGTAAGGGAGGGTGGTTTCCAGAGGCTGCTAAATAATCGCTCTCTGCTCCAACCACAAACTGCCGCCTGGGGGCCCGGGACGCAGGGAA